CATAAATAATGATCAAGATGTATTCATAAGGATCCGTACACGTCTTTGAAAATTTTCTTCGGTTTTGAAATGCTAAATTGCGCGTTTATACTTCTCTCAAACATGTCAATTTTCTTTGAAAAATCCACGGAAAGTAGAGCTTTTGACGCGATTACAACACGCTACGCATTCTTGACTATATCGAAAGAATACTTAGCGACATACGAAGATTTTGATGCTCAATTATTAGCAGAATCTGAATTCCAGCTAGAAAGTATTTGCTGGTAAGTTTTACAAAGGTAATTTGCATGTTCTGATTTGGTAATCGGCACAATTTTTTACCCCACTTTTTCTATTTCTATTTGCAGTTAGTTTAATTAAACAATGCAAACGGAAACATTAAACTTGGAACTGAACGTTATAGATATATTATTCCTTGCGCGATGACGCGGACAGTTGATTGCTTCGCTTTAACAGAGCTGGGCGGTGGAAATGAAAACTGCTGCTATATATGATTTTGACAAAAGAGAATTTATAATTAATACCGACATCGTTAGCTCAAAAAATATTGGATCACAAAAAAAACGTAGGTTTCAAAACGATAAATAAATTTTCATTTTTTTTTTTTTTAAAAAAAAAGAAAAGGTTATTAATATTACAGATATTTAAATATTTCGTGGACTAGTCGGCTATTCATGCAAAATGGACTGTTGTTTTTGCTCAAATTATAATTCGTGGCCAGAATGAAAGAATACATCTATTCTTGTCAGAATTCGCGAGAAAAAGTAAATATAATGTTTCTGAGCTTTTATTAAGGCATTTCTATAATTCCGATTGATTTTATTATTTTATTTATAGTATGATATAATTGAATATATGGGAGTAATAATGATATGTGATGTAATTTTATTTTTTTAACGATCAATTCATTACTAAATGTATTTCTACCCATGCAAATTGTGATTTAAGTTGACTTACAACTTACTTTCTGGTAGAATCGTTGTAGCTGTTGGACCAAAATGAAAGATTAAGATTATTTCAATATTATCACTAAATTTTCAAATTTAATTTTTGTATTTCAATAATAGATGTTACACCAATTCTTGACTATCAACTTCAACAACGCGCATGTTACATCATTTAGCAACAACTATCGATGAATTATTGCAAAGTCAGGTGGACAGAACAAGTACTTATGATATCAAGATTCATAAATGAAATTTAAACGATTTTCAAAAAATTTATTCAAAAAACGTTGTGGTGGACAAGGAATTGAGTATCAATAGGTTTGAAAACTTTCGTTGATTTTCCCACGCAGGGTATTTCGGCTGGTTTACGCGAATAATTTCACCAACCCATTTTATAGTTGGGAGCGAATATGATCAAGAAAACTTTTACAGGCGTTGAAGCATGGTGAAAAAGGACCTTGGGATGGGCGTTAATTAACCTAACCGAAAGATAATTAACGTTTTGGTTAATTGTAATCGACCAATCAAACAAAGAAATTTTTTAACAATGAATTTTATTTGTTGTGATACAAAAATATTTTACCGTATATGTATATTATGACATTTGTAAAAACTTTTTTGTAAGGTTTGAACCAAAGTTGATTTTGATGATTTGTTACTACCATTTATAATTAATTAATTTTTTCCATCGTTCCCGTCTTTGACCTTCTTTCTTTAATCTCAGCAAAGCCACACATTCATACGTTTAATTCTATCGGTTGAGCAAAAAGGATATGACTATCTTTCATGACACCCTGGGAAGTGATAATCGTTGATTCCATCACGTTCTTTTTCCAATAAATGTAGTAGGTTTAGTGTTTGTCATTAAAACATGATGATTTCAGGATCGGATAAAAGTTAGCTAACTTTCCATAACGTTAGAGCTCGTTATCCATGTCACGTGTCATACTCGTCCATTCGTTACAAGTTGTATTAGATACACCAGTTCCCTCGTATCACACCATGATATCGAACGCCTTGAACATTGGCCCCTGTTCTATAAGTTTCTTTCGTCATATGTCAGATCTAAATCAATCATTCAGATTATTATTAATGAACTTCGATTATCTTACCTAGTCTAGTTAGTCCGGAGCGAAGCGAAGGACTTTCTTATACTAGCCACATGTTACACGAGGTGCCCCGCTCAAAATTTGAGTCGATACGTGATTGGTCCGCTTGTTAACAATGGTTAATTCCTTATTGGATCTATCGACACAAAAAATCCGCAGTTTCTTATAAAATTTGAGTTCTCAAAATGGTAATAAAAAAAATAAAAAAAAAAAAAAATTTTTTCGGAAATCAAGAAATATTCATGAAATTCATTTTATTTTATATGATAGATTAAAATATACAGTAAATTTGTCAAAGGAAAAAAAAAAGAAAGAAGAAAACAGGTAAAAGGTTTTCTTAGGAAAAAATTACATATAAAGAATTCATCTTAATCTTCTTCAAACGTTACGGCTCTAAATTTTCTAAAAATACCCAACGATCTATACTTTTCAACGACTTCCAAATTTCCTCTATTATCCATCAAACTATTTGAACTATTATATCCTTTGATAATAACGAAAGAAAGTAATTGTTGTGGTGTACGATTCATCCAATTTATAAAAAAAGATTCTAATTCCTTCGGATATAATTCTTTCCCCACATTACATATATAAAATATTTTTAACTCGTAAAAATTTTTTGGTGAATACTTTGAAACAATCTCCAACAATTGTTCTTCCTTTAAATACCTTTCGCCACACCAAACCTTGAGACTTTCTAAAAGTTTACAACCATTCAAAATTCCTTTCAACGTTTCTAATTCGTCTTCCATAAATATTGTAAATAGTAATTTGAGTTTCGGGCAAAATTTGGCAATCGTTGAATTTAATGAATCCTCACTGGCATTAAGATAAAGTTCCTCTAAATTGCCACCATTATTTTCTAGGAATTTTGACAGGTATTCGGGTTCCGGAAATCCATACGAAAATCTGAAGGTCTTTAATTGTGGAATGATCACATATTGTAAATCCTTACGATCACCAAAAGGGGATAAGATTAATTCTTGTAAATTTGTAAATATAGAAATAAACATTAATGGAAAGTCCCCGCGTATCTCTAATTTGGTTAAATTGTTGGAATGTTTTGTAAATAAGGGTGAAATATCCGTAGCGTTCGTCCAGCCATCAGAATGAGTTAAGGTTAGAAACTCCAGATTATTTTGTAAATAGATCAAATCTTTTAGTCCGTTTGAGAAGATCGCCTTAAATCTTATAGTAAGAGATTGTATTTGTTGACAAACTTGAGATAATTGGTAATAAAACTCGGAGTACAAATCGGAGCTACAGATGAATACTTGGAGGAATTTTAAACAATTGATCGCACCAGGGAAATATGCAAAGTGTACACATGGAATCTCTTCAAATTCGGAATGATAAATTAGCTCCTTTAACGGAGACATCTGTGACATGAACATCTTCAATATTTCCTGCGTTATCAAAAATTTATTATAATTCAAACTCCTCAAAGTATTGAATTGTTGACTTTCAAGAGCATGTTGCACGATTTGATCTATTTCATAAATTGAGAGCACCTTAACAAAAGAAGCGTAATTAAATAATGGTGATTTTGAAGTTGGTGTATCAATAAAGATTTTATTTTTATGTAAAAGTCTTTTGGATTCGATGGGAAGGCAGGAAACTAATGTTCCAAGAATTTGTGATAACGCTTTCAATCGGTATAATACGTAAACGTGATAGTCAAACCAAACATTCCTCCATAAGATTTTGACGGAAGTTTCACACCAAAGGCGATTAACTAATAAACATGAATGTAATGTAACCTTGTCTTTTTCAAGATATTCGAAAATTTCGTTAAGGCAATCGGAGGGAAGTTGAGGAAACATTATGTTGAATTTTAAATGAAATTTCAAAAAAAAAGTAAAAAAAAAAATTTTAAGTGAGAGAGAGAATAAGTGATGAGAGAGTGTAAGCGATAAAATTTTTAATTTTTTTTTTTTGTTAAAAAAAAAAGAGAGAATTGTTCTTAAATACTCAAAGTTGTGTTACAAACTATGTGAACCAACAAACGACGGGTAATCAATCACATTCTAATTCTTTCATCATAGAACAAAGACCACATATCGATAAGATAAGCCTCCTACCAAATCTAGGGTATAGCAGTATAGCACAACACAAAGTGTAAAAACATTGAGGAATAAAAAAATGTAGTGTCTTTACAGTGTGCAACAAACAGCTATCTCTCTCCGTTTTCATCTTCTTTATAAATGAATTTTTTTTTTGGAAATTACATCTTTTGTTCCTTTGTTCTTATTTTAATTCTCATTGGAAAATAGATTGTTTGAATTTTTTCTTTGAGCTTAATTCGTCCTTCGAATCAATATTTTTGGCGAAAGAACAAAAAAAAAAAAAAAGATTACCCCGTTATCAACTACGTGTAATCAATCTAATAAGTTTTACTTCCTTTTTAGTATTAAGCTACCATAATTTCTAAAATAAGCAACTTAATAGGTCGTTGAATATAATCCCTTAAATGGTAAAAAAATTTTTTTGTAAATTTGTTAACAAAAAGACATTAACAAAAGATATGTTTCTAATCTTTAATAGTTTAATAATTTTGAATATTAAATCAAACATAATTCTTTTTAAAAAGTATAAACAAAAATTATAAATCATTAATATTATGATCTTTATCATTATATATAAATTTAAATAATTATTTAAATGAGTAAAATCATTTAATTTAATTATAATAAATATGTATCCCTTCAAGTGTTTTGCAGGAAAAATTGCCTACAATTTTATTTAATAATTAAAATTATTTATAATAATTTTAAATATTTTAAAATAATTTATTTAAAAATTAATATTTTTATAATAAATTTTATAATGTTTTCTAAATAAAAATTCAAAAAAAAAAATGTAATTAATTAGTGATATTTTAAAGATAAATATATGATAAATTATTATAAAAAAAGTTAAAATTATAAACTTATATATCTTGCTATTTATTGATCTCAGAAATATAAAAATATAATCATTTAATAGACTTAATGAGATAAATCTAAGAAACTAAATTTTATTTTTTTTATTTTTTTGTAATTATTTAATAATTAATATATATTAATAATTATTAATTTTTAAAAATTTAAAAATACTATCATTAAATAGATCTTAATATAACAAATCTAAAAAACATTATTTTATCTTTATATAATCACTAGATATTAAAATATTATAATTTTTCTACAATATTTTATAATCAATTTATACTTACGCTTTAAGGGATAAGAAACATAAAGTATACTTTTAACTTTTGACCTTTATAAAAATAATTTATTAGTCATAAAATTTTGTAATATTTTTAAAAAAAAAATATTTTTTTTTTTAAATATTTTAATTTTTGATACTTTATAATAATTTTTTAAAAAGAATAAAAAATATTAAGTTATCATTAATATAATAAATAAAATAAAGAATTGATAATATGACTTCTGATAACATATAAAAAAATTAATTAAAAATTTTTTATTATGAATCTTTACTATTACTTCAATTTATAAATTAGTTTTACTCAAATATTATTATTATTTATAAAATTATGATTTTATCTTATAATAATTAAATATTACAAAACGTTTATTTATTGATATTGATATTAAATCGAATGTAATTTTTTAATATTATATAAGGGGTAAATTGATGCAAAATCGGCTGTCTTTGTTGTGGAATTTTTGGAAGGGAAAACCTTGAGAAGGTCTAGCGAACTTTTTTTTAATCTGTTTTTTTTAGGTATTGGTTTTCCATTGGAAATTTTATTGCGAAAAAAAAAGAAATTTTTTGATTGGCTCCAGTGCAGAATCCGATACAAATTCCAGCCAATCATATCTCTTGAGATATGCATCAGATTTTGCATCAACCGAATAGAAAACCCAACAATTTGGTTTTTTTTTTTTTTTAAAAAAAAAAAAATAAAAAAATAAAAACAAAACTCTTGTAAATAAGAAGCAACCATTAGAATCGACAAACAAAATTTCAAAACCTCATTCACTTCAAAACTCCTTAAAAAATATGAAAAGAGAAATTATCACCAGAAGGTATTTTTATTGTCTAGCACTCTAAAAAACATAAATGATAACAATACATAAACTAATTTAATTTTCTATACTTTTTAACTAAAGTAACGAAGCACTTGCAGTTGGAACACAGTATTCTGCTGTCTATAAGTCGTCGTTGTTCCATCTAGTTTTTTATAAAGGTATGTTTCACGGTATAATACCACTCTCTTTACTTTCGCCCAATAATTCATTAGTGTTAAGCGTGACATGTTGAGCGTACCCCTCCTAGTTTAAGGTGACTAAAAATCTTTTTCTTATTATTAAATTAGGTCAACAGCATTATTTTTGGGACTTCCCTAAGGCCGACCTTACCAGTAGTCATTTACCAAGCAAAATGGTAAATGACAATCGACTAATAATGATCGACATTGAAAGTTCAACAGAAAGACAAAATAAAAGTTAGTATAAATAACATTACATCCATAAAGTTGATGATAACTGCCATCTAACAAAATTTATTTCTTCAAGGTCAATATTATCAATGTTATCTCGTCGTAATCGGTACCTTGGGAAAGTTGGAATTTGTGGAAAGTAAACGGCGAAAGGTTATGACTTCCACAGCATTGGATAAGAGAAGTCAAAGAGGAAACTTTGTGCGACAGCACAAAGGACCCCACAGGAGTTCAATTTGTTAAATCAAATGAACTTGTAAATCCACAGTCTTAATAGTGGAAATATCCGGTGGAGTTGTTTTATAAGATCGTTTTAATAGTGGAAATAATGTAAAGATTAGTTAAAATAGTCTTTATAATTTCGTTTTATTAGTTCTTAATAGTGGAAATATTGTCAAAGTTGGCAAAGTTGGGAAATAATAGTGGAAATATTGTAAAAAATAATGACGCGTAAAATTTTTTGAAAACAAATCTTGTAATATCTAAATATCTAAACAACTAAATAAAATATATAAAAAAAAATTTACACTACATTACAACTGAAATTTCTAGTTCTACAACACTTATGATTACATCCTGCTCCACGCCATCTCCTCCAAAATTCTGGTCAGCGAACTTAGAACGCTGACCAAATTGCCACCGTGGTTCTACCAAGTTCTCCAGTTCTATAGACCAGAGTTCTTTATCGTGTTCTCCGCCGGAGCTCTTCGCTCAGCGGAGGTTAGTCACCCGAAATATTCGAGATATTTCAAAATCAACCAAAATTCTTCTAAAATGGTTGTTTTGAAGGTATAGCTGATGATGAAAAATAAATAAAAATTTTACATTAGTTTTAAAAAAAAAAAAAAAGTTTACGAAATTTCATGTTTTATGCATTAAAAAAAATCTGTTTCTTTATTTACCTTGATATACCTTACGGGTATACCTATATAAATCACCCGCCCTTAAATCTTTACTTAAATATTTCATTTCTGTTCAAAAAATTTATTAAAGTTTGAATTTAACACAAGGAAATTATAATAAAAAATAGCATAAGCTTTGAAGTAACAAAATAATTACCGAAATATTTCAAATACTTCAAAAATTCTTCTAAAATGGTTGCGTTATCAATATTATCAATAATTTGATTATCTGATAAAGAAAAAATTTTATATTAAAAAAAAAAAAAAAAAAATTTTACAAAAATTTCACGTTTATGCATTTTAAATATATGTGTACCTTGACGCGCTTTACGGGTATACCTATATAAATCACACGGCCTTAAAGCTTTGCTTAAATATTTCATTTTTGAATTTAGCGAGGAAAAATTTATTTTGTGAAAAAAAAAACTGAATTTTGGTCGTTTTTTTATTTCTCCTTTCCCCTTTTTTTTTTTGTATTGTTCAAATTCAAATTACGAAACGTTTTTCGAAAACTGTTTCTGAGCTGATTTACCAAATCGGGTGCCACTTGTTCGGTAACAAACGGTATCGAATACCGGTATGTATCTCCATGCTAGATATTGAAACTGGTTGACACCTTAATAAAGATAAATTTGAAATGGAAAAAAAAAAAAAAAAACCAGAAATCTAGAACAATATGCATGCAAAGGAACTCTATCCTTAAAGTTATGCATAAAAATAAATAAAAAAAGATAAGCTTGCTCGTGTTAAATTTCATTGAACAACCCCAGCCCCCCAAAAAAATTTAAAATTTTTTTTTTTTTTTTTTTTTTTTTTTCAGTAATTTATAATATTAGTAATTTATATTGTTGGGATAATATTCTTTCTTTGGAATAAAAGAACAATCTCAACTCTGACAAATTCCTGATAGTCAATGAATCCCAAAAAAAGGGTCGTGATACTTGATTGTCAATCTTTTCCTTGACCCACGTGTTTTTGTCAGGGTGTGCCACGTGAAATGAAAACTCGTGTTAACAGAACTTGTGCCCAGGGGAAACAAATTTTATTTTCTGCTATTTATATCATTACGTGTGATTTTGTGGTCTATTTATAACATTTTGTGATATTGTGTCTATTTATAACATTTTTGTGATATTACATATATTTGAATCAGAAATTGTGATAATATGTGGCACATTTATCACGATTTATGTGATTATCTTTTTAAAAATAAGCATCACGTGATAAATATTACTTATCGCTGCGCAGTCATCACGGTAAAAACGTACAATTTAATAATGATTAAAAAAAATACATATTTATACATTTAATAAAACAAAAACAATTTAAGTAACTAATTTAATTGTTCGTTAAAAATTATTAACAAAATAAAAGAAAATATATTTAAATGAAAAAATTGTTAATAAAAAAATTACAATTGAAAAAAAATTGTTCGTTAAAATACATTTACTCAGCATACGGTAAGAGCAAATGTTGATGATTGGGTGAGTGGGTGAGTGGGAATTTATGACGTGCAAAAGTAGTGAAAGGGATGAGGTTGTAGCTTAAAACGATGCCGGTGAATCCCGATTCCTGATAAAGTTATTTAATTATTTTTAATTTTGTGAGGGAAAGATATTATTTTATCTTCATTTTCTTTTTTTCGTACCAACCGCCGCGCTCTTCGTTGGCGGCATATGCGGTTGCCGATACGATTACGGTAAACTTCACAGACGAAGCAATATTGGATCGGATTGTTGTTGAAATTACGACGTCCGCAACGAATGCAGTTACGATTGAAGTGTTCCATTGATTATTTTAAATTGTGAATGAAAAAAAAATTTTTTCTCATTCAAAAACCCAAGACGTATTTATATAAAATTTTCGATATCGTCTCACAAGATAAGGTTCTTCACATGTTCATAATGACATTCATTAAGTGTTACGTTTTTATTGAAAGGAACCGGAACCATTCCGTTTTATTATCAGATTTGGAAAGAATGGATTTCTTTTCGAGGTATATTGTTATTCAAAATAAATGTTGTCTCACAACTTTGAAACTCATGATCATAAAGTTCATAATTGGTGTTTCAAGTGTTATATTGTTCTGTGCTAGTAATAATTAATGAAAGAAACGGAACCGATCCGTTATCGATGCATGATACTAGTGCTCTATAAATAAATTTAATAACAATGACTTTTTTGAGGAGATATGAAAGAAATTGGTCTAACCATTTGAATGACGAATAGGATTCTTAAAAGTATGAACGGAACGGTCTAAAAATGTTTTTATAAGTGGTGTTGTTTTTTTTTTGTTATAAAGGGTTGGTCAAGCAAGTCATTTTCCTACTTAACAGGTTATTATCCGTAAAACAAAGGAAAATGAAAATAGAAAAATGATTTAATAAAAAAGTATTGGGTATTTAAAAATCTTGTGAATCGGAAAATTTTCCTATTTGCTCTTTTAAAAAGAAAAGGAAATCCATACGCAACATCCGATCCAAAAGAGCAATATATCGCCATAAAAGTCAAAATTATTATGTCAGACATGATACAGATGTTACGGATGATGCTAAATGATATCATTGATTCAATTGATTCGATTGTGATGAACCCTCATTTCGAATTATGCAGGGAGAAGTGTCTGATCCAAAATTTTTTTCAATGTTTGGTTTCGTGCGATGTTATACGTTTGTTTCAACACGTAATACAAAATAAAAAAAAAGGTTAAATTCGTCATCTGATAAAAATTCTTTGTTCCCAGCCTAATTCAAAATGGTAATGTGGTTTACCTAAACATATGCATCATGTGTAATGCAATTGCTTGCGATACCCAACTTAAAAAATTCTTATCGAACCATCAATGAAGTGTTTCCTCATGGTAGGTAAACAAAAAAAGGGGGGAAATTTTTATGGCACGGGACTACTTGTGATTCATATAATTTGACACTGCCGGGAAACTTATTTGTCACATTGTTAATTTCCATAACGCCATAATGCCAGCCAAAAATTAAGCGGAGTGACAATTTTTATTCAACTTTAATAGGTCGTTGTTTATAAGAAGACTTGTAAAAAAAAATTAAATTAAAAAATTTTCAAAGCTCATTAAAAGATTATATCCTTTTGAAAATATATTAGAAAATATAATTTTTTATATTTACTGTAAAAATATTTTCAAATTAATTTAATCTATTAAAATCTTATTAAAAAATTAAATTATTAAATTATAAATTTTTATTATATTAATTATTAGAATAATTTTATATTATATTTTAAAATTTTAATTTAATATAAAGAATTTTTTTTAAAAAAAAAAAAATCTTTAATTAAATTTATTTATAATTTAATATTTTATTTTAATAATATTTATATTTTTAAATATTAATTGTATAATAAAATAAAAGGTAATAAAAAAAATTTAATTAAATTACTATATGCAGATTTATTTATAATAATTATAATTTTAAATTATCTAATAAAAAAAGTATGCTTATATAAGAAAATTATTCTATATTAAATAAATAAGATTAAATAATTTTTTTTTAAAATTTATTTTATTAATGATTAAAGTTATAATACAAATTTTATTTATACATAGATTGTTAAAATACAGATTAAATGATATAACCAACATTAATATTCTTTTTGCTAATATAAAAATTTAAGAAATTAGCCATATGACAGATATAAGGTGATAAATAATAATTTTTTACTAAAAATTTCCTAAAAGAAATAGTAAAAAAAAAATGAAGAAAATGTGTAATACTGATAACAAATATATGTTATATAATCTAGATTTCAATTATTCTGTATTAACTTAGAAAGTTTTAAGTTATAAAATATATTGAATATTATAATTTTAATTTAATAATTATACTTTAGTGTAAATTGACGAATTACTAATTAAATTGTATTTTGATACATAAATTATATTTTAATAGATATAATTATTTTATTAATAATTTATAATAAATGTTAGATTAATATAGTTAATTTTAATATTATCAAAATTAATTAATGTTAAATTATACTAATTAATATATAGTTATAACTAATATTAAAAAGTTCATTAAAGTTAAATTTAAAATTTATAAAATAAAATTATACTTAATAAATAAAAATATAAATAACAGTTTTAAATAAAAATTTATAAAATAAGCTATATAAAAGTAAAAAATTTTAAATATCTAAAAAAAATAAATAAGATAAATTTGAAAATTATTTAAAAAAATTTATTAAAAATAAATTTATAAAATTTTGATATAAATTTTATATGTATTTTAAAATATTAATTATAAAAAAGAAAGGATTAATTAGTAACTGAAACTAAATATTAAATTAAATATTAAGGTTATAATTGTTGATTTATAATTAATATTAAATTAGAATTTTTAACATGTGTTACTAATTTAATTTCAATTATAATGTTTAATAAATATTTAAATTAATTATAATTATATAAATGTTTATTATAATTATTTAAATTAAATTTTAAAATATTATATATAATTTTTTAATTTAATATTTTATGTATAACTAAGTATCTTTTTCTTTTTTATTATAACTTTTTATTAATAAATCAGCTTAATTATTTTGCAATAAATCAAATTATTTTTGATTAAATTTTTTTTGTTTATTTAAAAATATTTAAAAAAAAATTATAATATAATTGAGGATTATAAAGCAATTAAAGAAACTTTTATTTTAATTAAACTTTTTTTAAAAATAATATTTAATATTTTATTAATTAAAATTAAAAACTTATTTCTTAAATAATAAGAATTTTTATCTAAATTTTAGTAGTAATTTTCAATAAAATAAAATGTATAATAACTTATATAATTTTCAGCTTAAATAATATATTTAAATATATAAAAATTAATATTATATAGATGCTTTACAGTAGAAAGAAAGGAGATTACAAAAAAAAAATTTAACTTTACTATTAATATTATTAACTCAAAAAAAAAAAAATTTTCTTTTTTTCTGCATTTATATGTAATTTTAGATACTTTACAAAGATTATTAATAATATAATATAAAATATATAAAATAATAAATTTTAGTTTATATAAAAAATTACTTTTATTAAAGACATTTGTATAGATAATTTTATTTTTAAGATAACGATAAAATTATAAAAAATTTGTAACTTTCGTCCATGTCACTTCCGGATATATCTATAGCCAGACAACCAACAATACTTTCCGCACCATCTTCATTTTCGCTTTTTTGAAGCATTCAGCTAAACGATTTATCCGAATGAACATAAGTGTAGGTTCCCCGTAATGTTTCGGGCGAAACCCCTGAGCTCTGGGCCAAACTTTTTTTAACTTTTAACAACTAAACAAATTTGATTTATTATCATATAAATAAGTGTGGCTAAACTTAACAAATAAATTACATCCCTCTACATTTCGCCTTTAAGTTACGCCATTTGTCCTAAATTGCCCAAACTCAAAATATTTCCAAATTTGGGTTTCGTCCGAAACATTAGTTCCCCGTGAGAGAAATTATCATCGGAAGCTATTTTGAACAAAGAAGTTAGAGAGATCAAGGCTCGATCGCTTAATACATTGACAAAAATAGATAGCTGGACGATAAAATGATCACTAACCTCCGACCGACACGTATACATCGGTTCTATATCTTCCAACGTCATTTTATTGACTGTTGTTGTGGTTCTTAAACTGCGATTCCGTATTGGCGAATCGTGTTAAGATATGTAATCAAAAATGGGGATAATATGACGGGTTTTTCGTATGCACTTTAGCTTTTGTTTTAACAATTTTTTTTACATCATAAACTCTGTGATTTCATCATGATGTACCCAAGAATGCATTAATGATACAGCATGCAAAAAAATCTTTTAAAATAAAAATGTTATTCATAAATAATCAAAGTTTAAACAAACAATATATTTTAAATCTAATACATACCCACTCAATTCCATCAATGTAGTTAAAAAAAAAAATCACCTATGATACAGTATCTCATCCTTTTTTTGTTATAGCTATCATCTTCGGCTGCTTCTTGAATATGCATTATCAGTGAACGGATATTTTGACATGTATGTAAATTTAAGTGTACATAGAATAATAGTGAAAGAAGGAGATGTTTTAAATCAAGGTTCTGATTGCGTGATTAAATAAAGTATTTCTGAGGATAAATAAAACGTTATCAATTTTCGTTAACGTCGCGCCCAGTATTAATTTAATAATTTAATATGCATTCGGACAAGAGGGACCTTTTTGTGAAGAATAAAAAATAATTATAAGAGGGAATTCCAATAAAATTATTGATTCATCTACATAACATTGAATCCCTTTAGTTAACTGTATTTATAGAATAACGCGTAGAAAAATTTAATAATTAATATATGATAACGAATAAGCTTTAAATAAATACTTACATATTGTTTCATTTTCTTTACTGTACTAGGGAGTTTGAGTCTTGGGTTGTTAAATTTATACTCGTAAATAGAGGGTCGATTTAAAATTATTATATGAGGCACGTGACTGAAATATACGTTTTGTTACGTCATAAAAAAAAGAATATTTGATTTTAATTTGAAAGGGGTTGAAAAAAAAAATTTTTTATTCAAAAAAAAAACGTCGTATAAATCTACAAAAAATTATTTTTACTTTATATATTTATATGAAAAAAACGATGACAACTACTACAGTTGTGAATTTTACCATTCAGTTTAACGACGACAACGTGTTTTAAATACACAATCCTCAACATCAAATCCACTATGTTGAGACAACAAAATACGATGGCGCAATTCGACTTCGCGACTGCTGCACCACAAGAAAACGAATTAAAGCAATTGAAGGTGGTAACGACTTATTCTGCGATCGAATCAAGTGATTCGGTCGCCTTTAAAGAATAAAAGCGTCGACATGGACATACTCTGCAGTTGAATCAAGCGATTCGGTGGCTATTAACGTCGATACGACTTATTCTGCAGTTGAATCAAGCGATTCAGTTGCTTTTAAACGTCGACATGGATTTTAACGACATATACTGCAATGCGAATCAAGTGATTCGGTGTCTTTTAAACGTCGACGTACTCTGCAATCGAATCAAGCGATTCGGTGGCTTTTTAAAGAATCTAAGTTTAATCTAAATCTACTTTTACATATTTCAATTTGTTTTTAACCATTTTTTTTAACAAAAAAACTCGCGTTAGTGCTATTATGAAAAATTAGAATATTTACTCAATCTTAATATGTATAGAGAATTTTATATCTAGACCAAGTGTTTATTATCAAAATAAAAAAAAAATCTAAACTTTTATTTTCTAATTATATTATTCTACCATCTTAAATCGTTCATTTTATTTCGGTATAATG